TTTATTTTTTAGTCATGTTAAAATATATGAGTTTATATTATTAAAAATATTGGCATAAATCTAATTAGTAGCATTTATTAGTAGTAAATAATTTAAATATAGGAAGAGAAAATGAGAGTTAATACCTTAAATGTAAGAGTTAATAAGAGGGGTTTAAATGAGGTAAAAAGTAATAATTGAAGTTACATTTTCAAAACTTACAATTAGAGATGGATTAAATACACAAATATGGGCATTTTAGTAGCCATTAAAGTTGGCATTAAATTTGTAATAAAATAACTTTTATACCCTTTCTCAAACAAATTGCACATTACAATTCTAGATGATAATAATGATAGTAATAATGTATCTATAAATTTTTCTATAAATATGTAACTTTTACTTTTTTTTTTGTTTTTACTGTTTTTGCTTTTTATTATTAATCAGATGCAGATTGCAAAGTCCAAATCTAATTACATCTAAATATGTGATAATCATATCAAGTTGTGAAGTTTCAAGTATCATTTAGAGAACTATGTGCTTGGCTAGAATCTAGATCTTTGTTTTTGTAGTGTTTTATCCTTTTGGTGTATCTTTTTTTATTCATTTATCAAAGAAATGTAAGATTTAAATAGAGAGAATTAAATGAGGTAAAAAGTAGTAGTTCGATTTATAATTTAAACCCCACAATTAAAATAGGGACTAAATTCAAAGATGAATATTTTAGACAAAAGGAAATTGCACAATCTTATTCATATTTTTAATAGTAGTATAAATATAGAATTATAGATGTGTTTAATTTTTTTAATTATTTTTGTATTTTTGTGTAAAAATAAATCTAATATGCCACACATCTTATTTGTTTGATATGATAATTTATGTATTTTTTATTTTATTATTTTTTATTATTTATTTATAACATTAAATGCTAACACATTTGACCTAGAAGTTGAACTATTGATCTTTGCCAAACAGTAAAATAAATTCATTTTTTATCAGTTCTAAATTATGTATTTCATTTTCATTATCAATAAAAATAATTCTTGTTTATTAAGCTTATTTTTTTATTTGATTAATAAAAATCTCATAAATGTGTCTAATCTTTTCTACATTTTTGTAATTTTATATATTTATTTCTATTTTAAAAATTTTATTACCTAACTATGACTTGATAGGTTAATCAATTTGGTTTGGATGGTTGAATTGCTTGGCCATCACTCAAATAATGAATTCTTTATTTTTTTAGTCAATTTTAAAATATATGGTTTTATATTGTTAAAAATATTGGCATAGATCTAATTAGTAATATTTATTAGTAAAAACAACTTAAATATAGGATTTAATAAGAGAAAATTGGAGTTAATAAATTTAAATATAAGACTTAATGAGAGGGGATTAAATGAGGTGGAAAGTAATAATTAAAGTTACACTTTCAACCCTTATAATTAGAGTTGGAATAAATAGACAAATGTGGGCATTTTAGTAGCCATCAAAACTATAATATTATACCTTTTCTCAAGCAAAGAAATAAAGGGTAATTTTAGTAAAAAAACTCCCACTCTGCATCCACACTATATATATAAAATAAAGTAGGATGGCCCATGCCAACATGTATATCTCTGAGAGAAGCTATTTATCTATTTTCTCCATTTTTCTATTTTCTTTTGTTTTGAAAATATAAAAACATAATCATTGTTATGTCATCAATAAAATTGTGTACACTATTATCAAAACATTATATTATTAGAGAGAGAGAGAGAGAAATTATATTTATTAAATAGAGACAATTAAGAGAGAGTAAGAGAATGTGAGAGGGGGAGAAATTATATTTGTTAAATAGAGACAATTAAGAGAGAGTAAAAAGGAATGTGATAGAGACAGAGAGACGTTAGAGTTTTCTGAAGCTTCTCATCTAATGCATGTTGTAATGTGCTAATGAGAGAGAATTATTTTATTATTAAGAGAGAGAGAGGGGAAGGGAATACTAATATAACATAATACAATAAGTATATAAAAAAAAAAACATAATACAATAAGGGTCTATTTAGTTCCCTAGAATAATGCTTAGAATCTGGGTTAGAATTGTCAACTGTTTTGTTTATTTCACAAGAATGGAATTGCCATTCCGAGTCTGTTGAGGACTAAAGAACTCATGACACAAAAATCTCCCAAAGCTTAATATAATATTAATAAAATATTAATAAACTATATATGAACAAAATATTACTAAAATGGTAATAAAATAATAGTACTATAATAAAATATTAATAAATTAAAAATAACAAGCAAAGATACATGTATAAATAAAATATTCATATAATATTAAAGTAATAATAATAATTAAATAATAATAAAATAATAATATATTAATAAAATACAAGAAAATATAATATTAATAAAATAATAAATAGACTAATATAAAATTGATTCCGATTCCAACTCCAAATAAACCAAATAATAGCAATCCAAATTCGATTCTGATTTCCAATTAAACCAAATCGGTATTAGGTATAGGTATTTTGGTTTTGATTCCAATTTTGATCATGTTCGTGAACCAAAAGGACCTAAAATATTAATAAATCAAATAATATAAATAGGTTGAGCTTAATTTAAAATCTAATAAACTTTCACTTAAAAATAATAACTATTAATAAAACTTAGTAAAAATTAAAATAGATTTATCTTATAATAGTTAATAAAAATTAAGAAATTTGGTTTCCTTAAAACATTAATTAAAAATGTTTTAATAATATTATGATTTGATATTTTTATTTTGTTGTTTTATTTTTTATTGTTTAACCTCAATCTATTTTAGATTGAATGAAATTTGAATATTCAACTTCCTTAATGGATTTAAATTTGAATCACCATTTGTGAGATCTAATCAAATCTTCAGATCGGATCGGAACAAACATGTGTTACCAGAGCAGTTTGATCAGATTCAGATATTCACTGATCCATGTCATGTAGCATGGATCTCCTTTCTCATTACCATTTATCTATTTTGTGGTTTTTTTGAATAAAATAACTCAACTAGCTAATTAAATTTAAGTCTTTAAGACTTTCATCTCTCATTATTAACCCACCATTAACTCCTTTGATTATCTTAATTAATCTAATAAACCAAAAGCAATTTGCTTGGGGGTGATCATTTTAGTCTGGCCTAGGCCTTGGTCCGATCAAGCCCATAAATTTTAGAGCCAAGTTGGGCCTAATACTTCAAGATGGTTGTAGGCCCAACCAAATCGTAAACAAATAATAGTCTAACAATTATTTAATTAAAATATCATAAATAGTTAAATCACCTAAAAATAATGAGAGAGAGAATTCTAAGACATAGTTGCCACAGTTTTCCATCATCAGCTTATTTTAGCATATTTCTATAGGTGCATTTTATTATTAGTCTATTGTATTCCAAAAAAAGAGAGATTGGTGTAAGGAATGCTCTATGAGGAGTAGATCCGGATTCAAATTTTACTCTCATTCAAATGTTTATTTCATATTCAAATTTCATTTAATTGATTAATTGTTAGAAAATTATAATTTTGAGCTTAATAAATAAAATTACTAAAGTTAATAAAAATTATTCAAATTTAGCAAGTTTTTATCTAGCAACTTTTAAAAATTAAGACATTAATAGATAGCACAACCCGGCTAGACCTATAAATTTCTAGGTGCAGGCAACTACTTTCTTCTATCTAGGTCTAGCTTGGATCTACACCAAGACCATAGATAATATGGGTAGTAGGGCTATAAATGGATTTGATTTAGATCAGATCCAACTACATTTGCATGAACATTTGATTATGAAATTTCTACATCCACATTCAGATCCGATTATTACGTTGGATTTCGAATTTAATACACAATAATCTTATTGTGTTTAAAATGACCCAAAAATTAAAAAATTAAAAAAGCTAATTACTTTTAAATATATAATAAATGTATATAAATAATAAAATATTAAATTTATTAATTATAAACTTTATATAATTACACATAATATCTATTTGTACACATAATTATACTATATATATATATGAAATAATAATTTTTATTAGACAGATTTTAATTACACCAAAAGGAGTTAAAATCTGCATCCAATCCAATTATTAATCAAATGCAAGTTCTAACATCCAAATCTGGGATAACCAAATTTAAAATCTAATTAGGTATTAGACTTTTGGAGTTCAATGATAGCCCTAGCGGATAAGGCCAAGCTAAGAAACCCCTAATCTCAATCCAAAAGTTGAGGTTCGGCCCAAGAAGTAGGTATATGATTCATTGATCTACACAATGGGAGTAGTCCTCCCCCATATATAGCTCATTCAGATTCAATATTATCTAAAAATAGTTAAAAAAACCTAAAAAGTAATGCATGCATGAATTGCACTCGGTTTGGTTAAGTCCAATCGAGAATGTCACGATGCTTTTAGGGGTGCAACTTGGGTGGATTGGATCAAGATGAGGATCAACCCAAGCCTAATCCAATGTCTTAAAACTTGAATTCAGGCTTAGATTAATTTAACTATGACTAAAAAAGTTAACTATAGATTATTTTAATTATGTATATAGTCTAATTTTATATATTTACTAATATTTAAGTGATATTTACAAAAAAAAAATTGTAACATTTAATCATTAATAAAGTAAAATAAATGAAATAGAACACTACTAGAAAATATGAGAAAAATAATTATTTTATTAAGTAATTAATTAATAATTAATTATTTTTATTAAAAATGTTAATATAATTAATCCAAATTGCTAAATTAATAAATAATTTTTATAAAAAATTATTAAAATAAAGATTTAATTATTTTAAACAACATTATATTCTTTCCTTAATTATGAGTTTTGGTTATTCACTCACTTAATAAATCCCGTGCACCGCACGGGTCCTTATAAGTCGGTTATATCACTCTTCACTCTTCAATAATCTCTTCGATCCGTTTGTAGAGTCTGTTTTTCTCATCACACTTCATCAGTTTGAAGCTTTGGAGTCTGGATAACACGTTAAAATGGGAGGAAGACGAAGAGTATCGTTCAGGGTTCTGCAGCGGCTTGTCACCCCATTTCTTCCCTTCATTCCAGAAGTTCAAGAGCCAGAGATGAGAGTTCCTTTAAGAGAGAAGCTCATCAACACGGCCATGGCGGTTCTGATCTATCTTCTTTGCAGCCGGCTTCCTCTCTACGGCATCCAGTCCGTAATGGCCGCTGACCCATTATACTGGTTACGTGCTATTCTCGCTTCGACTCGTGGGACCGTCATGGAACTCGGCGTCGCCCCCATCGCATCATCTAGACTTGCCATGCAGTTCTTTCTCTGTGCAAACATCATCAAGATCGACAGCCGTGTGCATGAGGAGCAGATCCTCCTCTATAATGCCAAGAAGTTGCTGGGTTTCTTGTTCGGCGTCGGACTAGCGGTTGCGCACGTTCAATCTGGAGCCTATGGCAGTCCTGCCCAACTTGGAGTCCTCAACACCGTTCTCGTCGTCTGTCAACTCTGTCTCGCCACTGTTATTATGTTGCTGTTGGACGAATTTCTTCAGAAAGGTTATGGCCTGGGGTCTGCTACTTCTCTTTTCTCTGCGACCAGTAAATGCGAGGAGATCATCTGCGAAATATTCAGTTCCCCGGTCGAAGGTACTATTGTTGCTTCATTCCATCTGTCGGACTTGCTGGCTACGCTCTTCATTTTCGCTATTGTTGTCTACCTCCAAGAGTTCTATGTTGCTTTCCCCTTGAAGTCAAAGAAGTGTGCCTACGGACAAGAAGGAGAGTTGTATCGAGTAAAGCTATTCTATGCCTCCAGCATGCCAGTTGTTCTGCAATCTGCATTCGTGTCCACTGTTTACTTTATATTTCAGAAGATACAGAGGTGGTGCAATGGAAATTTGATTGTTGATATGCTCGGTACATGGGAGGAGTCGGATGGTGAATTGGTTGCTGTTGGTGGGTTTGCTCACTATTTCACTGCACCAACTAGTTTGGCGGATATGGCGGAAAATCCTCTTCGTGCTCTGCTCTATATTGGGTTTATGCTATCCTTCTGTGCAGTGTTTTCCCAAACTTGGATTGAAGTCTCTGGATCATCTGCTAAAGATGTTGCGAAGAAGCTCATCAAGGATCGACATACGATGATAAGTAGACGTGAAAAGATGCTTTTACACAAGGAATTGAATGGCTACATACCCATCGTTGCAGCCACTGGAGGCATGTTTATTGGTGGGTTGGCGTTTTTGGCAGATTTGATGGGGACGAGCGCTTCAGGGACTGGAATTCTGTCTATTGTCACAACCATAAGTCAGTGCATCGAGACGTTTGAGAAGGAGAGGGCCAGTCTTTGAGCAATGTCTGTTACTTCCATAAGGAAAGGAAAGTGGGTTCTGGGGTCCTGTTTGTTATCATAATCATAATCATGGCTACCCTCTAGAGGAAGAAATTAAAGAGGGTTCTGTGACTTCCGTCTAATGTTATAACCAGATGCAGTGCAAGGCGTCTGAGGAGAGACGACCCAGACGTTTTGATATGTTGGCTAAATTCATAGACATGTATTTTTAAGTTTTCTCATATATAGTGGATTGCTCTCTCACTCTACCATGAACGCAAGTTCATAGACATGTATGTATTTTTTTCAGTTTTCTGATGGTGGATTGATCTCTCACCCCCTATCTGGATGTAACCAAATCACATATATCTTGTGTGTTCTTATCTTTTTGTTCTATTTATAACCTTCTAATTTATTTTCAGACTTAAATTGAACATAAGAAGGGCCATAGCCATTACCCCCCATTACACAATATTGGTCCCCAACCATACAGGGTGTTCTGGGAAGGGTGGACTGGTTTTGTCCCGAAGTGGCATCTGTCATTGCACCGAGCAATGGCCTCTGCTAAATCATAACTGGGACATGCTCTTTGCACTTTGAAATTACTTGCTTTGGGAAATTTTGTTTGGAGAAGCACCTAAGCATCGAAATACTTTTCATTTATTTCGGTGACTGGGAATTTGTCAGACAGATAGCTGAATTCCTTTTAGATGAATGCATTTCGGTTGATGCAGGTGGAAATGTTTAATGGTTGGCTTCTGCAGTGAGACTGACCCAACCTCATTGTTCTGCAAAAAGAACCAAAACAAAATATAGATTAATAAATTATATATCTTTGATACTTAAGCCTTTTAGTGACGTCCAAAGGTTAACGCCTAATGGATTCTCCAGGCTCATGTTGGTCCAACGATTGTGGTTAGTCTTGTATTTATCGCAACTAGCCCAAAAAAGCTCCTTTGCCAAATAATGCACTTAGAAAATTTTGTTGACACCTGTCCCATAAAATACCCTGGCCTATCCTTAAAAAAGATTAATACCCACTTTTGACAGTTGTCAAAATATTTATCAAGTGCTCATTTAATGTGCTTACTTTGTTGCGCCTGAAATTTCCAAACTGGGGTTACTGGGCAGTGGGCAGACATGATATTCTATTGAACTGAAATTATAAAGTGAAACCAAGATCCAAGAAGCCACAATTAAATTATGCAAGTGAAGACCACATGTGAAGTTATCATACTTAATTTTTCTTGGTGAAAATCTTGAGAGTTTTATAGTAGTTATGAATAGTTTTCAGAAAGCTATCAGCCCCAGAATTACTCCAATAGAAATAAAGATTCTGTTACGGTTTTTTGTCTACAAAAAAAATACAGTAGTAGTAGTAGTAGAAATCAATTTAGTTTCTCCCAAAATGAGGAACGAATCAAACAAATGAAAATTGAAAAAAAAAAAGAAACAAAATTTGCGTAGCTAAGGGCATGGAAATTCCTCAAGCCTTAACTGTTTTATTAGGTTAAGGCATATCTTACAAGCTAATTTCTTACACAAACGTAACATGTTAAAGAACAAAAGCTCAATCATTGATGCAGTTGTTACCCATGCAACTGATGGATTTTCTGTGGGAGTAGATGATGATTATTAAGGCACCATCCCCATAACTGTTCTATGTCTTGGGTCTGTAAGAATTGTATGCACATTCACAAAGCCAACTTCTCTCATTGTCTCTTCCAGATCAGTGAGGTAGTACTCATCTAGAAATGGTTCAGTGCTCTTCATTAATGTAAATAATACTGGAGACAATTCCTACAATAAGAGCAAGCAAAAACACAAGACTATCAGTTGAATAGTATTATAATGATCAAGTGACATGATCAAACTAATTAATAATCCAAAAATGCAGCCTGGACATAAAAGATCGAACTTTCTAGATAATACTGACACTGGAACCACCATTAGAATGTCTACTTTATTTCTCCATTAAATAGGAAAATAGATTTGTTTTCCATCACAATATAAATAAAGATCAAAGGAAGCTTATAAATGGATAAATCCCCCTATAATTGAATCTTTTGTCCTCTGCCTCAACAATTTAAAAACTTTACTGACCTGGAAATTTTGACTTTTTCTTTTCCTTCATTAAACTGATATCCTAGATTTTTTTTTGGTGAATAATGCTACCTCAGATTAGCCAAATGAAATAAAGGACAGGAGAAAAAAAGAACAAAAATTACATGGATATCAGTGGACTAAAATAATCAAATTGGTATAAACTCTAACCAGTAATTGAACTTTTGAATTGACAAGTTGAGGGACAATTTAAAAGGCCACAGTTTCCACTAACTGCAATTGCAATATTTTAATCTTACAGAAGTGATTTTCAATAGTAAGTATGCAGCATGTTTATTCTTGATTATTCGAGAAACCACAGGGCTAAATCATTGAGATTGGTAGCAATGGTTTATACCAATAGGCATGTTATCATTTCTTAACTAAACTTGGAAGTATAAAAGGAAGTTATCTATGAAAACCTGGATAAGATAAATTAAACCTAAGAATCGAACAATTTATACGATGAAGTTATGGCAGGAATTTGACTAGCAAATTCAGTCAAGAAGAGCACAATAGAAGCACCAAATTTCTTAGCAAGCCATTTCCCTCTTCAATGTAAAGATTATTTGATATTACCTGTCCAGTTGTTTATTCTTGACTGGTTTATTTTGAGTTTCTAGTTCCTTATAAAATTCTTGAGAATCGAGGCCATTTCAACAGCATAGCATATTTTATCTCAGATTATTACAATAAGTAACTAAAACCAACTTAAGAAAAACATGACTATACCTGAATGATCTTTGATTTTGGCTGCAAAATTAAGCAAAGGAAATTATTAAATTTGGAGTAAATATTGTATAAAATGAAATATAACTTGAAATATATGTAGAGACCAGCAACATACTGAGTTATCTGTCAAAGCAATCATGCCTCCAGGCCGAAGAAGCCTGAATGCTTCCTTGACTAAGCCTATTATTGCTCTCCTCGGACATTCATGGAGCTGCAATGAATATTTTTGTAGAGATTTAGAACAATAGTAGTTGAACTATTTGGAAATTGGAAAACCATATGATACCATGAAATAACAAAACAAAGATCCAAATTACAAACTCATCAAGCTATAATAGACAAGCCTAACAGAACCAGTCTTTTAAAATCCAACCGGTAGCTTGAATTGCTATTCTCTGCATCAATGGATCAGTGGTTCAACCATATGAGACAATGGATCAATCCCTAATGTCATTAACATCAAAAAATAAAATAATACAAGAACCTGATAACCCGCTGAACAGTCAAACTGGTCAACAGTTCAGCCATCTGGGTTGAATGTTGAAGAGTTGTTGACTGAGAACAATTTTTTGTAAAATAGCAGGTCATAGGTCCCCCCCCAAAAAAAAATAAATAAATAAATAATAAAAAGAAAGAAAAAGAAGTTTAGAGTTTTGAAAAGAGAGAAGCAAGATGTCTATGGCATTTTTGTTGATGAATTATTTTCAAAAATATGAAAAGAAAAAAGATAACCAAAACTTCAACAAACACAAATACTGCTCCTGGAAATTGTCTCTGAAAACATGGTTTGGGGTTTGAAAAAAAAACTCGAAGTCAATGGACAAAACAAATAAAAAATATACCAAACAAACAATTAAATAGGTTTAACTAGATGGAGCTCAGCCAAAATTATGTGCAGAACTAGTAATGGCATTTGAGGAAAATGAAATAATTCAAAGATTTCTGAAAAAGGATTACAACATGCTTTGTTTGAAGAAAAGGAGGAAATATGAGTGCAACAAAACCAGGTTATTATATTCGGTTTGCCTCACCAATCAAAATGGAATTCAAATATGGAATGCAGAATGTCATGATTCAGCCTTCATTCTGAAACTCTTTTAGTAGGGCTTAGTTCATTTCTTCTGGCATGAATATTAATGAATGCAAGCAAATAATAGCTACATATTACCCATATCTTCCAAGAATGATATATGGCCACTGACATTTTAACCAATCCAACAACCAATTTTAATATGTATATGGAAGGATAATGTTAGCACTTAGCATAGTGATTAGAGTGATGTAGGAGTCATAAAAGAAACTGAAGTAAAACCAAAAATTATGCTAACTTAAAGTTAGGATTGGAAGAAAGTGCTTTCGTAAAAGTACTTTCATAAAAGTACTTTCATAAAAATGCTTTCGTAAAAGTGCTTCCATAAAAGTACTTTCTTCAAAAGTGCTTTCAAAGGGTATGTTTTGAGAATTTGAAAGAAAATGAAGGACAAAATAGTCACAAATGCTTATTTAAGTGCTTATTTTAAAAAATAAGAACTTGAAAAAGCTGGGTGCCAAATGCAAATAAGTGCTTATTTGAATAAGCACTTATTTTTAACATAAGCACTCCCAAACATGGCCATAGTGAATAAGATGTCTTAACTTTAACACTGGAAAGAGGATAATAGTATAGACCATTAAAATCTCTTTCATAAGATTTTCTTACAATGAAAGTTACACCTCTGCCAATCTTAACATAAAAAATTCCTCAAGTATCCTAATATCTTTAATATAAAGATAGAAACTCTTATAGACAAGGCAAGTCATGAATATACACTCATTTTGGTTCATCTCCAATGCAGATGTCTTCACATACAATCTTCTCAAAACAACACAAAATAAGTCAACAATAACATAGTAAAATAGAAAATTTTCATTTTAATCTTCTTCGTACAACTTCGAGCTTTTCATCAATGACTTACCACATAAGCAAGCGAAACAAGGTCGAATGATTCTGAAGGCAAGCCTGTGGCTTCACCATTGGCATGGACCCATCTGATTGGGTTCTTTCTTGGGGCTCTTTCCTTTTCTTTGAATTGAGCTACCGCAAGAAAGTAAGGTGAAAGATCTAGTCCCTGTAATACATGCATTAAAGAAAAAAAGAAAAGAATAACAAGGAATTAGGAAAATGCCATTAATTGAGATGACCTTTTTGTGATAATGTTCGAATATTGCTATATTATGGTGGCAAACTTTGCACTCCTGTAGTTATAACTGTTAGCGTAGGGGTATTTCTGTCTTTATACCTGGATTGATGTTGCTGATCTGTAATGTTGTGTTGAAACATGTGCTCTTAACTTAAGTAAGGGCACATAGGTCTTTTCAGTTATGTTTTAATAATAATATAAATACTTACTGGCCGACTAGGAGAAATCAAGTTGACTCTTTCAGTTCGAACCAGAATTCTCTCTTCTCTCTTTCTCTCTTTCTTTATCACTTTTTCTTCTTCTACATAACTGAACTCAATCAGGCCGAACTCTAAGGCAGACCTGAATTATAACAATAGCATCAACAAGTTTAAGAGATGGTATATGAAAAGTAAGGCTGTGATCAGTAAGTAGTACTAGATTTTAACTTTTTGTGATCAACTCAGTCTGAAACTGTATTTCCTCGAGTCATGGATAATTGAGAAAAATAGATCTCCTAGTCATTCAGTTGCTAGTGCCAGTACCTTTTTATTTATTTTTGTGTATAATCTGGAAGTTGACCTGAAACCTCAGGGTTGAGGACCAAGTTTTCAACCAATTGAGCTTCTATAGGGTATAACCTGAAATTTCCCTAGCTACTACTTCATGCTATTGCATTTTTTAACAAGAATGGAGTTCACTGGAATAAAAGCATTTTGGAATTTACTACTGAGTCAAATGACAGAAGTCATATCCAAGAATAAATAGATCCAACTTTCATTTGGGAAAAAAAAAAGAAGAATCTAAGAAGCTCATTGAAGATGCCAGCATCTACTGTACAAAGTAAATATTAGATAATAGATAAAAGTTTATCAATGACGTCATGACGATGAAACACTGTAGCAGCTGCAGCTTTGGATTGAAAAGCACTTGGATAAGTACAGGATTCAATCCATCTTGTTTTAAGTACCAGGACAACTTTCTCCTTACAAGAAATGTATTCACACAAATGATTCTAATTAGGAAATTTTAATAGCTTCAAAGCAAGTTTCTGAGCATGGGACACTCGAGTGTGTGACTCATCAGACATGTGGGTAAAACTGCTCTTTCATATATAAACATATTTTATCTCCTAAATTGAATTGAAAATGAAGAGTTCTCCAGTCTAATGAATGACTAGAAATATCCTAAATGTCAGTAAAACATGAACAAGAAATATCCTTAATTAAGAAATTTCTTCAATCATAAATATCATTGTTGCATTACACGCCAATACACCATAGAAAAGGGTTTTATTTCTCCTAGAAAACTTCATATAGAAGAAGATTCAGACTTACAGTTACTTTGGCCCGAGGAAACTTGTCAGCAAGAAATCTTGTGCTTACACCAACTGAGCACCCAACATCTAAGATATCCTTCATCATTGGATTGCTTGAGTGTTGCAGATAATATTGTTCAATTGCTTGAAGCCAATTTCCTCTTACTATTTCATATGCTTCATCCACTGAAGAAGTATGAGGTACTGCTCGTTTCGCAATTGACATAGTTGCAGCTTCTGCTTCTGCTGCAGCCTGTCAATGGAACACATTTGTCTATAAATATTGCCACTTTCTTTCTATCAGATATGTTACTTCACGTTTCAGAAGTACCTAGGTATGCCTAAGTCATTTTTGTTTCAGAAAGATGCATGATGCATCTTCAGATATCAGAAGCAGAAAGAATCAAACGAGTAATAAGCCAACAGACTAGTTTGAGTGCTTACCAACCAGGAAAGGTTTCCCTCATCATATGCATGGAATGGGTTCAAATAATCTGTTCAAAGAGCACAGATTCCAAATCCATTGATAATTTGATATGTATAAAAAAAAAGAAAAAAAAAAACGAAACAAACCAAAACTACCTCATATGACTAACCCAAGGTCTGAAACAATTGGCAATAGATAAAACAAGGAAAAAACTAAACAGAAAACAGAGCAACTCAAGAGCACACAAAGATTTAATGTGATTTGCCTTGAGCCTACATCTACAAGAGGAGCATAAATCCATTATGACAGCAAAACAATGGAGTATAATAGCTGTTTAGCACCTCACAAACCCTGGCACCCTATACACTCTTAACACCCTTTACTGTCCCTGCATTCCTGAGGTCAGTAGTGGGCTAGGCCCAAGCCCTCCACATCCATGATAAACCTTAATGAAGGGGTTATTTGGTAGCGTGGTTCATTGGAAAAAATTGTGGTTCAATTCATTCCGATCCACACCATGGTGAAAAAAAGCATTCATTTGAGACGTAGATCAATTAGGTCCACATTATAGTATGAATTGAATTGAGTCATCTCGCAATTTATCATTCACAATTAAATCTCATGTTCCAATCCATAATCCATGCTAATATACATACAATTATTTAAGTAAAGTCGTGCAATAAATTTCCAAGATACTTTATAGAAAATTTTATTTGACAAAAACATCTAAAGCATCCACACAAGGGTGTAGAATGTCTTCTCAGAATGTGATGTGGTTTCAACCACTCCACAGTGGGGTCCAATGAATTGAAACTCTCCAACACTTTATTGAGCCACATTACCAAACAACCCCAAAATTTCCCCTTTAGGCTTTTCTCCATGTATTCAGGTTCGGATCATGGAGCATGCCGCAACAATTCAAGGCACAACAATGGTCACTATGCATTCCTTAAGTGCACCCCTCAACTGGAAAAACATTGACAAATACATACCTCATTTGTTTACACACCTAAATTTCATGTATTTACTAAAACCAATACTTTAGTTTGTGTTTTACTAAGCACCTCCCCCCCTAGTTTGCAACTTCTTTCCTTATCAACCTTTGTACGGTTTGTGTTTCCATCTGTAAAAACGACTAGAAAATCTGAAAGGACACGAATCCGGTATTTTTTATTCCAAAAATACTCTTCTCGTATCATGTGCACGAAATCGGATTTGGTCCTCACATCGATCGCACAGTCCCTTGCAGCTTTGCATTGGAAATGTCTCCCCATGAAAAAAGCATACAAGTACGAAGATATTCCTAATGCACAGATGTAAAAAGCTATGAGAACGGTGTGAGAACAGCCTTGTGAGCACTGATCCGATCTCTGCATGGCCATGTGCACTCCCTGCCTTCTTTTAGACCAAGGTATAATTTGTGTTAGGAGTGATTGGTGAGGGTAGAATCAAGTTAATATGTCAAACCATAAAGGGACAATGCCAGAAAGGCTTAATCAAAATCCACCGTGCATTTTAACAAAACCCCATGCGGAACCCACTATGCGGTTATTCCCACAGTGCAGGGTTTTTGTTTGAAAGGAATCCCCTTGCACCTGATTGATGCCAGTTGATTGGTTATAAGTTTTTCGGGTATCACATCCCGTTACAAGAAGTTAAACAGCTCTATCAGGGGATACCACATTCCTAGAATTTGCGGAAAATTTATAAAAATCAGAAATCTATACCACTATTAAAAGTGTGAATGAGAGTATGGAACTTTTGTTTGACTAAAATACCCCAAAGTTTGACTTTGGTCATTCTTTAATTGTAATACAAAAATGTAAACTGAAAAACCACATTTCTCCTCATTCAAATCCCACTTATTAAATCTTATGTTTAAGATATTAACTCCTATTAACATTTATTGAATCCTAATTTTGACTAGAATACCCCTATCTTAGAATTTGGACCCTCTTTAATTGTGAGGGCACAAAATATAATTTGAACTAGTACATTTCTTCTCATTCAATTCCCTCTAATTAAGCCTTATATTTAATGTATTAATTCTCATTTTTTTCATTGAATCCTATATTAATGAACCATATTAAAAAAATAAGTGTGATGATTGCTTTTATTGATGATAGAAATAAAATACAAATTTAAAATGGAATTGTGTTATGTAGCAAGTCAACAATTCAACCTTTTAAGACAAAATGTGTTAACCCTTGATGTTATACTTAAATAATAATAATAATAATAATAATAATAATAATAATAATTGAAAAATGAAAACACACAAAATTATAAAAAATGCAAACAATTTTGTAGAAACATTTGGGCACATATATTCATCATTAAACAAAAATAAATGTGACAAATAAGAATGAATTTTATAGATAGATAAACATAAAAAAAAAAGTTATACAAAATTTTGGAAACATATTATTTACCATCATTATCATCATAAAAAATTCCTACATGCAAATCACGTGCCAACTTAATAGTTCAAAAAAAGGCATGGGAAAAATATTTACAGTCGGGATATACGACAGAGGAGTCTTGGATGCTATCCAACTCCTTATAAACCTCCGAATCCAGAATCTCTTCCGTCATTTTCCGCCATGGAATGTTCGTCTTCTCAGCAGTACTGCTCCTCCCACAGAGATTCAAAATTTCCTATTAATTTTTGGTGAGAAATGCCAAATTGTAAAATCCTAATTATGTGATCTAAAATTCATGAGAATAACAAAGGATGAGAAGAGTAGCCTGCCTTATCAGAACTTGTCTGGCACCGAGCTTCATGATTGAAAATAGAGGCCTGAAGGAGATGAGAGCCCCCACAAGACGGGAGAGAGGAGTTTCTCCGACCCACCTGGGACGCTCCAGCTTTCCTTCCTCGAACGCAGCCATGTTTCCACCGAAGCTGGTCGATACTTGTGGAGACGCCATCTGTACAAAAGAACTGCCTCTTCTTCTGCTTCTTCTCCCATCGATTATGGTTTCGGTGGGGAAGACGCGAGAGCCGTTACAGAGCTTCGATTGGTTCGCAATCGCAGGTGCGTAGAGCGCCATTGTTTCCACACACACACACAGAGGAACAGAAGTTGAGTGTGAGGTTTAGGCGGTGAACGGAAGGAAATACAGGCCAGTCCTTATCAGTTATCGCCTCGTCCTGCAAGCGAATCTTTAGCTGCCCATTACAATTGGCCACGTGGATGTCTAATCATCATCTAGTGGTAAATCGCTGTATACAGGATACAGAGAGAGTGATACTTGTTCATTAGCCGGGTCGGGTTTTATCTATTTATGAATAATAGAATACATTCAGGCTCAATCCCGAATCCGTTAAAAATTCGAAAATAGAAGTTTTTCTTTTTTTATTCAATAAAAAGTGTTTTATTTATATTAAAAACATTTAAAACTCAAAAACAATAAACATCTCACTATTATTTGAAAAAAAAAGAAGGGCAAAAGAAAAAAATATTATATAATATATTTTTTTTATTATTTAATATATAGTATCATGTCGAGCTCAGGCCCGAGTCAGACTTTTTTGAGAAAGCCTGAGCCCAGCCCAAAAAAAATCAGGCCCGATGCTTTAGGCTCAAGCTCAAGCCCACAGGCCTAAAATTATGACCAAGCCCAATTTAGGGTTGGGTTGGGTCGTCGAGTTACCTGGTCCATGAATAGGTCATTAAAAGATTCACAGTGAGTGTTTTGTGGTCAGCAGATCCGGACTTCTGATATAGAGCTGATGTGAACATATACAGTGAGGCCTAGAGCTGTAAATTGGGTTGTATCGCCTGCGGCCGACACAATTTTGAGCCGCCTGGCCTGATGGTCCATGGGCTATGCCGCAGCCCAACACAATTTGTATGGGCCGATGGGTCGTGTCATGATGCCTGTGGCCCGCGGCCCAGCACGAACCATATATATTTTATATATATTTATATATATAATATATTATATAAATTATAATTATATAATAATATATAGTATATAATATACTAATAAAATAAAATAAATCAATTTTAGTATACTATTTTATTTAACTATTGTATATATACGCAATTGTACACATCAAAATTCATATAAAATTAAAATTTTAATTTTTTTTCATTTTTTTAAATAAATAACTTTGGCCCGATCCACGGCCCGGCTTGGCCATGGCTCGGCCCACGGACTAGCCCAACCCGACCTAGCATGGGCCTATGCGGGCTTGGGCCATGGGTTGGGCCAGGCCGACCCCCAAAAGTATCCCAAGGGAAGGAGGCACAGCCCAAGACGGCCCGCGGGCCGTGTCATACCAACCCAGCACTACCCATTTTACACCTCTAGGTAGGCATAGGGCAGTAGAGTTTGAATCTACGCCCCACAACCTTGGTGCCCCAACAACGTCCCACACAATGAAAGCCCGTTGCGTGCCTTCCACACGTATTCCCCACTCAGCGCGTGTGGATTCACCCAAAACGAAAAAGTTTCTCCATTCCCGCTCATGCTCTCAGTCTCTCGACCTCTATGTAACCCTAACCCCTGCACCTCCTCTTCCAAGTTCCATCGGCACTAACGATATCGAAGGTACTCCGGTCTCTCTCATCTCATGTCTGATAGACACACTGGAAGTACCACACAAAAAACGTTTTCTCCTCTTTATGTCCAAATAATTATATGAAAAATAAAAATGTGAATCACCCACAAGAATGCAGCCTGAATCATCAATTTGGATTTTTTTTTTTCGAATTGTTTGAGAGGTTTTGATGATCAGTGCTTGGGCGGTGAAAGAAACCCAATATTTATGCCTCGAATTTCAATCCCACGTGTCAAAGAGCAACATCCCTCAAAATAAGACAACATCAAGATAGAGTACGAGCAGTCGTCCGTGCCAGATTTCTCCTATGTGTCTACCGGAATAGTCGTCAACAAACCCTAAAAGGGACGGCAAGTACCCCCTGTATCTAATGGAACGGTCATCGGCGCTGGATCTCATCCGACAAGGTGAAGCTCTACATCAATTGCCGCTCCACATGGGGCAGGTCGAGAGACTGGAGAGCATGAGCAGGAATGGGAAAATATTTATGTTTAGGGTGAAGCTCTACATGCACCAATGGAAAATGCGTATGGGAGGACACATGGCTGACTTCCATTGTGTGGAACGTTTTTGGGGGGTAAGGTCGGAATGATCATGCGTTTGGCCGATAAAAATAATAGATTAATTTGAAACAAAATATTGACTTGAAAATGATGAAATATGAAAAAGATTAAGGTTGTGCTTAGAAACGAAGCAAATAAGTGTGAATGCAAATATGTAAAGTGTAAAATGGTCCATATAAATTGCAAAATTGGGTTAGTTTTGCATCGACAAATTTACCTTCTTACCAAATAGACTTTTATCTAAAATAGCCGCAAACACGAATTCCAATAAAGCATATGCCTTTTTTTATCAAAAGCCCACTTGGATGCAAATTTACTTCTTTTTTATTGATGTACTTTTACATCTCATTATCTATGTAAATATGCAATGGAAAATGTGTCTTTTGTCATTTATCAATGCATAAATGCAATATTGACAAACACAGGCAAAAGTGAACTAAATTTACCCAGAACTAGGATTTACACTCCATTTGCAACATTTTCAAACGCAACCTAAACTTTGAGGGATCTCATGGATCCACTTTGCCAACCAAAGGAATTCGGATTTGCTGGCCACAACATATTGCTAGCGAGGGGCCAATTGACCACTCTACACATTTGGAACATCGATTGTGTTATGATCACCAATATACTCAGCATGCGACTGGATGAGCGTGACCAACGATGTATTGTGGTCAAATAGATCCGAAGTGGCATGGTTTCTGTATAAAGTCCATATTATGAAATCCCTTTATGGGCTAAGTTGTGGACTAAAATATATATTGACAGTCCTTTTAACATGTTCGAATGAGAATTCAAATCCTTCGTAAGTCGTAATAGGCTACGATTAGTATGCATTTCCACACATGCACGCCGAGCCGAGCTGAGTCAGGCCGGCATGTACGCACACACGTTACACCGAATCGCTTTTTGCATTTAACCGGATTTGATTTTCAAATTCAATGGTTTTGTGTACATTTGAACAGGTGTCTATTCAAATTTCAAACTTAATGTTTTAAAACGTTTTCTCTTTCATTGTTTGTGTCTCTTCCTTTCTATGCCTCTTCGAACAGGTGCACTGTTCTGAAGAGGTTCCTGTTTGAAATGACACATTTGTGTCCATTCGAATCTAAGAGCACTCTATAAAAGGAGTGTTGGCTGACCCAGTTTTCATCAATCACATTTTTTGACTCTTTGTCTTCTCTACATATCTGAGCATTAGTCTTCTGTGATTCGCAGAGGTCTAGTAAGCGAGTGCACGCCTACCAGTAGCTTGTAGCCTGTTTTATCTTGGCGACTGATTTGCGATCACCCAGTTGCACCGTTGGGGGAAAATGCGATTTTAAGGAGAGTGACCAAGTGGCATGACTCAGTCCTCCTTCTCCTTGCAATTCCCAGTTTTGAGTTTCTACAACAACATCACAGCACTGCAAGTTCAGTTTGGAAAGCGATTACCGATAAAGTTCTATTCTGCCTTCTTTATTATTTTTACAACAATCTTAAAACCACATTTATGGAACCAGATACTGTCAACAATTCCCGACTTCTCTAAGATTGAACCCTTCAATGGAACCAACTACAAGCATTGGAGACAATGCTTGCTTTTTGCCTTAGAACAATTAGGGGTAGCCTTTTCTTTGACTGAACCAAACCCATCAAACATGGAGGAACCAGCCCATTCTGTTGTTGCAGAACACTAGACTACAACCGACCACCTCTACACCAACCATATCCTAAACTACTTGTCCAATGAACTTTATAATGTTTATTCTTCCTACAATTATGCCTATAAAATATGAAATTCATTGGACAATAAGTATGCTCTGAAAAATGCCAAAAATAAGAAATATGCAATTGCCAACTTCCTGCACTTCACCATGAAAGAAGACATGGACGTGCCTGCCCAAATAGATGAATTCCATGTTCTACTGGGGGAACTAGCAAAAGAAGGCATGGTACTGTTAGATGAATTCATTGTCGGTTCTCTCATAGAGAAACTGCCATATACATGGAATGATTTTAAGACCAGTATGAAAGAAGAAGGACACTACTTTGGACCAAGTAGTGGTCCGAGTTAAGACTGAAGAAAAGAACATAAAGAAAGATGATGACCAGTTTTCCAAAACCAATCTGGTGGAGGAAAAGACTATAAAATTCAAAAAGAACTTGAATGTGAAAAATGATATGAAATTCAAAAAGCACCGAAAGAAAGGAAATTGCTATGTATGTTGCAAACTCGGACATTACAAGAATGACTGCCAGTATCGAAAAAAAAAGCTCTGGGAAACCCAAAGTCAATTTGACTAAGGATGTTATCGCAGCTGTGGTAACTGAGATAAAATTAGTTGATAAGTTAAATGAGTAGGTACTGGACACTAGTGCTACCAAGCACATATGTGGGGACCGCAATTCCTTCTATGAGTATACAACTCAGTTTGAATGAGAGCAAATCTTTATGGGAAACTCACAAACTTCGAAGGTCATCGGCAAAGGAAAAGTGCTTCTGAAACTGACTTTAAGAAAAATCCTAATGATGAATGATGTGTTGCATGTGCCAGAGATCCGACGGAACTTGGTATCGAGAGCACTCCTCAACAAAGTAGGATTGAAACTCACATTTGAAGCAGACAAGGCCGTGTTGACTAAAAATAATGTTTTTATTGGAAAATGATACAATGCTGGTGGATTGTTTGTATTGAACATTTCTTATATTGTTATGAAAAAAATGCTTCTTCTTCTTCTTCTTCTTCTTTTTCTTCTTCTTCTTCTGCTTATATTGTTGAATCCTTTGATATTTGGCATGCTAGACTAGGACATCGTAGTGCTCTTTATTTAAAACGATTATGTAAATTAAGAATTTTGAATGTTCCTATTAATTTTACAAATGAAAAATGCCAAGTATGTGTAAAAGCAAAATTCACTAAGAAATCTCATAAAAATGTACAAAGAGAAACTGAATTGCTACAACTTATACACAATAATCTATG